TGACCTCACCAAGAGCCAGTTTTTCATCACATCCACAGACGGGATAGCGGTCAATCACAACCATACTGGTCATGCTGGTCTCCCACACAGTAAACCCGAACCTTGAACTGTAAGCAAGAGGGCTTCGGCCCGACACGCCTAGGTCAGATGCTGAAAGTCGAATTGGTCTTCGCAGACACACAGATGAACAGCGAGGTTGCTGCCAACAAGGCTTCGGGTGACGGTGTACGGCTCATTAAGAGGTTTTAGGTTCAGAGTTGGAGTTCAAACTTACGATTTTACTGAAATTCGGGCTTGAGGTTGAACTGGCTTGCCTGTTTCATTGCACAGCCTTCGGAGATGCGTGGGCTCCGCACCGAAGTGAAGATCGTGTGTCTTGGGTGCCCTTATGATTTGCGCACCTGCTTGCTGCTAGGAAGGAGTGTGAACCAGAAATGTCATTAGTTGCTCATGTGGCAACCCAGGGTCTTTGGGTATCTGGTGGCAACTTCACTTCGGGGTGTACCCTTCCGCCAAAGCCCCAAGAATCTTGAGCGAAGGTTGCTCTGAATTGAGAAGGCCTTTGGGCAGGCACAGTGTGACACCGCGGGCCATAACCCTCGAAGCCTCAGTACCTAAACCTCCCATACGTGACCGTAAATGCACCATGTAGATTGCTGGAAGGCCCTTATCACGCTTACACTGCCGACTCCGTTTGTGCTCTTTTTCAGTTCTTGGGGACCCCCAGAACTGCAAAAGCCTTGTATGGCCTAGACTCTGTACCGGTGCACTGCTCAATCTCTCCTCCAGGTATCTGAAGTTTGTTAGGGATTCTAACCACATGAAAGGCCCCTACGCTTAGGCATACAGGGTCTTCGCCGGCATGTGTACGTCTTGCGCCTGCCTGGGAAAAGCCTGGATAAGGAACAGCAAACCGGCCGGGTGTCAACTGCAAGTGCTGCCGGCCATACTATTTACATCTATTTACACAATGTGTACGTCTACGTCTTGCGCCGGCCTGGGAAAAGCCTGGCTAAGGAACCGGTCAGAAGCGGTATGCACCGCGCTTCTGCTGGTTTTGGTAGACAAGTTAGCAGCATGCGAACAGCCTCTTACAGGGATTGCTACTTTCTGTCTCTTGCTGACGGCACTCTGTCAGCTACTGTTGGATGTGCAGTCCAAGCCGAACCCCAACCTATGACGTTATTGACGACTATTCCCACGACTGTGATTCTACGTCTCGCTGTCCATGCAGCGCCATTTCCTGGTCTTGTTGTTCCCAAGACTTCAAATCGTATATCGTAACAGGCCATTGAGTACTACTACACCCTGACAGACAACGTTCAAGCGATGGTGCCCCGGCTTTGGTTTAGCGGTTTAGGGTTTCGGGGTTTGGTTTAAGGTTTTAGGGTTTGGGTTTCAGGGATCAGAGATTGCAGAACATGTGGTGTGGTGAGGGCACCAACATAGGCAACACAGTTCATGGTATACAAAAGCAGCCCATGACTAATACTCCGTGGCAAGGCATGGAGAGAATGGGCTCACGGATGGGGCCACTCGTAGAAGCCTAAATGATTTACAATACTATTCCAAGGGTTCATGATTATATACTTCAACCCAGACCCCCGGGAGGATCTAGAAAGTAGATCCCCTACTTTGGGGCCCTGTACTACTAAGGGTACTTTATAGGAGCAACCATTAAGGGATCTACATACTTCAAGCGAGCAGAGCTAAAGCCCTGAGAGCTCAAGACGCTTTGGATGCGCTTGCTGTGAGTTCGCAAGGGCCAAGGCAAATGGGTGGTTCTCATAATTGTGGTCCTCTTTGGGTACCCTAAATAATAGGTGCCGTATTATAATAGGGACCCAAAAAGGGACCATAATTATGACAACCACCCAAATCTTTGTGTCGCACACTGGATGTCGCAGAGGAGCCGCAAAGTGAAAGGGAGGATCCATGATTGTTGAAACTTTGTGCCAGAGGATGTCGTCCACGCCTTGCGCTGGCGATGTGCCCAACCGCTCTTCACCGACGGTTTGTACCGCAAGCGTCCAAGAGCTTGCAAATGCAAGATCGGTATGCTCGAGTCGACGTGCGTGGCGGCTGGGAACTGTGTTGCAGAGTCGGGATATATAATGTGTTGCAGAGTCGGTTTATAAACAACATCGTTGTGACGAGAAAGAGGCACCGAGTCGCATATCATTATCGTGCTCACATGCGAGCATATACCTGGACATAGAAAGATCCTCACGCAATCGCGCCGGAGTGGTGAGGTCATGTAGCACTTTCGAAGCCGCGAACATCCTCCGACCGTTTGCAGCCTTTGTAGCGGATTGTAGCGGTTTCGGGCTCAAGTTTGCTAAACCCTAAACCCTAAACGGTTCGAATCCCAAGCCCTAGACCGCCCAGACACGCCGCTCGAGGTGAACACCTTTTTCGTCCACAACATCGCCGTGAACGATGCCATGGCAGCCAACGAGATCAACAAAGTGCTGCTGCACTGTTCTGGAGGCCTGCGATGGTCAGAAGGTGGCGTCTGAAAGATACCCTAAAACCTAAACCAGAAACCGTTGTGTCCTGGGAAGGATTATGCTGGATGTGGGCTGCTGGGTCCGTTGTTAAGCATCACAACGGCGTCACGAAGTAAGCCACGTAACACTTCTGGACACGGATCCCATGGAGCTGGGAAGAAACAAGTATGGATGCTTTTTTGATTTTCAGCTCCGGTCGTCATCGGCCACCTTAATTAGCCCCAACATAGGCGCCAGAAGAATTTGTAATACTCTTCCTCACTATATAACTTCTCGTGCTTTACAGAGCGAACGATGTGGTTTCAGTAGTTCAGAAAATATCAGGCTGCAAGTGTTTGGGGGCTGGGGTCATCGGCTGTGATGCTTCATTTATATAGGATTCAGGGTTCAGGGTGTACTTCTCCCAGACAGATTCTGGCAACACCAGACTATCCACGGCGACGGTGGGAGCTACCGCTGCCTGAAAAGCAAAGTCAATGCACAAGGCTGCGAAGACGTACGGCGAGCGTATCAGCAACATCGTTTATCGTTGAAAGTACGACAGACGCCATCATGCGTACTGGATCTGTTCTTGAAGTTGTCACTGCCAAATCTGTCCCGCCTTTTCGAGGCATTTTGTCTTCGATTATTCCTCTTGGCCTGAACCTTCTCCTTGTTGCTACAGCGGTTGCATGCATCTCAAGCCCCAAGCCCAAACCCGGCGGAGACGTTGTTGAACAAGGCCCTAAACAAACAAAACCAGAGTAGCACAAGCCTTAACCCTTAAACCCTAAACCCCTAGATCCCCAAAACCACTGAAAACCCTAAACCCCTAAACCAAAAACCCTCAACACCCTAAAACCCTCCAAAAAATCCGGAACCCCTTAAAGTCCCTAAAAACCCACCCCCGAAGCCCCCCCAAAACGCCTCCCCAGAACGCCTGAAAAGGCGAGCCGGACCAGTACGGCGTGGTGCAGAACCTTCAGGCGAAGCCTCGTTGGAGCTACGCCTTCGGCGTCGCTGGGCTTCATAGGACAGTGTCCCAAAAGGGCCCAGGTAATAGCATATAGTTTCGTATAGTATAGTTGACAGTATAAGGTACAGTGTATATATATATATATACTTTTGGGACCCAAGTATCTACTAGTCACTACTATATTGGCACTTGGGCCCTTTGGGTGTGTTGGCTTTGGGCTTGACTGGCGTGAGGTTTTAGATTAGAGTTTGAGCTTCACGCAAGATGCCACACGGAGGATCCAGAGGGAGCAGGAATCATGGGTCCATTACAACAACAAAAACGTTCGAACTAATGTAGGAGCCTGATTAAGAAACCCTGGGCCTATAACCCCAACAAAATAGGATTCATGTAAGGGACCCTTATCAAGGCCCAAGGTTGTTTTAGTCAGGTTCCTACATTAGGGTCTTAGGCTTTAGTTTTCAGAGATCGGATCTGGGGGGCAGATAACAGGCACAGGGACGGTTGATGATATAAATCCAGCATTACCTTTAAGGTCCCGAAACTATGGGAATTATGGCATATTCCTTATTATGGGTAATGCAGGATGTATATCATCAACCGGAGCACCGGAGGGTTCTTCAAGGGCCCAGGTTTTGCTCCGATTTTTTGGAAAAGCGCACCACGGCACATGGCTCAACCAAACCTTGCCGTCCGAGCGGCTTTAGCAGCCGCTTCGCATTCTGCGAACCCTAAACCCTAAGCGCCAAACCCTAAACCCTAAACCGAAGCCCCAGTGAGGTGTAGGGTTAAGGATGCCGGGCCCTTTGAGCCCTTACTTATGCACACAGGTAAACACCCAAGAGAGCATTAAGCGCAGTATTTTTATTATGGTTCTAAGGGGGGGGGGTATAGAGACCTCGAACTCTAAATCCTACTCCCTCGACTACAAGCCCCTACTCCCTCAATGGCGTCCTTGTGCCAAGCCTGTAGCATGTACTCCTGGGGTCATGGAAGATGATGTCAGAAGCAGAGGGTTCCACTAGCCCGAAGTCTTATCACTTTAGAGGCCAAAACAAAAGTAGTACTAAGTACTAATCCTTTGGGTTCCTATTCCAAGTACAAGATACATCAGGAGCCAGAAAGTTGGAACATCACGATGCCCATGCACTTAAGATAACGTATAGAGAACCCCAACATAGTCATCATTAGTCCATGTTCCAACTTTCTGGGGTCAACTATCATATACCCCAAAACCCTGCATTAGTCATTCAGGGTCCCAGTCAGTCGTCATCTCGAAGAAATAAGTAGAAGCTTGAGGGTGGACGCTGCCAGAAAGCTCAGGTGATGATTCCATCCTCCACCTATGGCGCCGGCGTGTTCAATTTCGCGGGGGCCCTGAGACCAGAAGGCCTTACTCAGTTGAAGGTTCATTGGTGGGGTTCAGGGTTTAGGGCTTAGGGAGATTTCACTTGGGTCAGAAGTAAGGCTATCCGGTCTGGAAGGCGCATAAAAGAATGATTGAGAACCCTGCCTTGCAGCCGCCCGTAAAACTTGATTAAACCGTCGCAGAGTCCGACCGGGTGCTTGACAAAGCGTGGATCGTTGTGGGAAGTACGTATGTGTCGTTTTGGGGGGTTTGGCGTCGTCGTGGGCTTTACGACGGAGCCTTGTCAGGGTTGTGGCTGGATGTCTGAGATGCAGGGGGCCTAGATAAGTACAAGCAGCGTCTCTTACCTAATTAGGGTTCCTTGACATGACATAATACCCCAAAATCTTATTCTACATGCTTAGAGGTCCCTGGATTAGGGGTGCCGTTCAGTGGTCTTTATCAGAGGCATTTCCAGGTGTGCTCATTTGGCTCTGCGGTTGAGGGCTTTAAGGTTTGGGGCTTGAGGAGGGGTGACATGGGATGACTTCATGTTGCCTAGGTAGGGCTTTGGGACATTTATTTTATATTTGCTCTTATTGGGCTTAAGAGGATCTTACCTACTAAAATGGTTCAAAGGCTTCAAAAGCACCTCCTAGTTGCCCATTTCCTGCACTCACTAAGACCAGTCTGTACAGCATCGCCGTTTTATTTCCTGACATGAGTTGACGATCCATTTTGAGAACCCTAAGAGGAATCAGGGACATCTCTGCCCACACTTCTACATTGTCAAGTTGAAGTATGCACGATTTCTCGTGTGACCTTCGACCTGAAGAAGTTGGCCGCGACACCCCAGACAGAAAGCCCTATACCGTATACCCCTGCACCACCCTCAAACATCCCAAAATCCCCAAACCGTAAACTCTAAATCCTGGACCCTTAACCCTAACCCCCTAAACCCCTAAACCCCTAAACCCTAAACCCTAAACCCTAAACCCCTAACCCTAAACCCTACATAAACCCCCTGAACCCAAACCCTACATAAACCCCTGAATCCAAACCCTATACATAAACCCCTAAACCCCTAAACCCCAAAAACCTAAACCCTTCAGCTCCGGAAGGATCCTTCGTGAAAGGATCCCCACACCTAAGCCGTGGGGGAGAGACTCAGGGCCTCGATCGCCCTTTCGCAGTCTGACCTATGCTCGAAACGGTTTAGGGTTTAGGGTTTAGGGTTTAGAGTTTAGGGTTTAGGGTTTAGGGTTTAGGGTTTAGAGTTTAGGGTTTAGGGTTTAGGGTTTAGAGTTTAGGGTTTAGGGTTTAGGGTTTAGGGTTTATTCTAACTAACCTATGGTATTGGAGGAGCTAAGGAGCCAGGGATGATGATAATCCCTGTCAAATAAGGAGCTAAAGAGCCAAGGGATCCCCAAAACCACTGGTTAGCTAACCGGGGTTTAGGGTTTGGAGTTTAGGGTTTAGGGCTAAACCCTACACCTTAATCATACGCCTCGAAACCCAAATCCTTCTTCCCGAAAACGTACAACCTCGTTTACATATACGCTACACCCGGCTTCTAATCTTTGTGGCTTGAAGCAGGGTCGACAGGCAGGGCTCCTGTTCCTATAACCTTAGGGGGTACTTAGTTTGTTTTTTATTTTTTGGTTATTACAATCCCTAAGAAACAGCTAAAATTGAAATTTGTGCAAGGGTTCTAAGCTCAGTATAGTAGCGCCTCGCGAATATAGCGGTCTGAAGATAATTACCTTTAAGTATATAGTGTTCTAATTATCGAGGCCCCTAGTGTAGGACCCTGATCTAGATCCCCTTTAGACCCCTTTAAAGGAAAAAATACCCTTAAAGGAGCCCCCTCCTGGTTATTGTGGCCCCTAGAGTACCGCTACCTCCTGCCCAGTTGGAGAAGCAGCTCCTCAATGCGGACACGGATCCCGTGCTCGGCAGCGTCGTCACCAGCACGAACGGCTCCTTGCTTTAGGGCTTAGGGTTTGGGGTTTGGGGGTTTAGGGTTTGGGATTGAGGCGGCTTAGAGACTTTACCGTCAGGGGTTTCGGGTTCATGGTTGATTCTGCTGCCTTCGAACAAGCATGGCCGCTTGCAAAACAGACATTGCAGGTATCTACAAGGCATCTTCTGTATAGAAGCAGCCCAATTTGGTCATCTAAGCTTGACATGCTTGGCACAGCTGCCTTTGCCTTCATGTGAAAGGTTCGGCCTCCTGAAGGAAACCAGTTATTCGGGTTTCTATACATCAGTCGCTACTCCTACCGGCTAACCACGGGGACAGCTTCTATGACGACGACCACTTCCGCCACTACCAAGATGACTATCTGTGGCACAGGCCTTATTCTAGACTCCAAGCCTTGAACCCCAATTATACCCTCCCAGCCTTGTTCTAAACCCCAATCCCCCAACCCTATATACTATACCCTCGCAGGCAAAAGGATCGTCTTCTTCCGCAATGTCGGCAACTCTTTTGCTGACTACACCTGCGGTGAGGCCATCTCGCAGGCAGCGGCACCTGCCGGGAGGATACGGAGTCGGATTAGTACGAGTGTTCAGGGTTTGGGTTAGTGTTGGTGTTTTGCATTTGGGGTTACTTCGTAAGGTGCTACGAAATACCATGAGGGTGTTACAAGGGATCCAGGTTCTCCAGAGTTAAGGGTTGAGGGCGTAATTCCGTCAGCAGAAGTGAAGCGTTTTTTAAGATTCTACAAATACTCAGGGAACTCCTGCTGACTTGGTGCCCCAAGTCTCATAAACCCCAAAGTTACTAAACCCTGTCTGTACACTTCGTTCGTTGAAGCTGTAGGGTTCAGGGTTCATGCTTGGGCTTTGGGAATGGGATTTAGGGTTACAATCCCTATATGGTTTAGTACACCATGACAAAGAAGCGATTCTCTTGGGGTGCTTGTTGTCTAGATGTGAGTCGTTGTCTGTAACCCAATTGAAATATCCGTCGTATAGATACCTTGGGCTGAAAACAGCAAAAGCACAACCACCATCGGGATACATGTGTTATCTCCGATAATTGGACCGCTGTGCAGGTGAAGCCGTTACTTCAATAGCCGTCCGCATTAGCGGATGCCAGTTCTGACTGCAGCCCAAACCTTAGACCCTAAACTCTAAACCCCTAATCCCTAAACCCTAAACCCCTAAACCCTCAACCCTAAACCCCCTTAACCCTAAAACCCTAAACCCCTAAACCCCCTAACCCCTAAACCCCTAAACCCCCTAAACCCTGCCAGCGTCCTTTACTCTTTGAGGATCCTCGTGGGCCGCCAGCAACACACCTCCAATCAGGTTACATGTGTCGGGGTCCCTAAACCCATGGGATCTTTAAGGGTTCCTTTAAGGGCTCCGAAAAGGGATCTATACGATTTTAGGGTTTAGGGTTTAGGGATTTAGGGGTTTAGGGGGTTTAGGGGGTTTAGAGGGTTTTAGGGGTTGAGGGTTTAGGGTTTAATGCCCTAAAGCCCAGTAGTAGAGTAGTTAACCTTTAACCTTTTTTGGGGTAGTATAGTCCCTACAAAGTCCCTATGTAACCACAAAGGATATCCTTGAGTTTTTCCCATGATACCCGACAAGTACGTAGCCCTGAAACGTATCCCATACCCTAAAGCCAAACCTAAACCCCTGCAGCCTTAAACCTTGCGACCCTGGGCATGTTCCCCAAATCCTGCCGCCACCACCACCACCAGCCCGCCCCGCTCCCTAAACCCGAAACGCGTACACCCACAGCCCTCCACTTCCCAGCTTGCCAGGCGGCAGCAGCAGGCTTGGATGTCAATAGCACCGACGTCTTCGAATACAACACCTCCGACAACAGCTACATAACCAAGTTTGGGGCCACTTGGCCACGTTTAGGGTTTAAGGGTTTAGGGGCTACATAACAACCCTAGCCCTCCAAAGACCTCATAGTTAGGGTCCTAGACCCCTTAAGGACCCCATAATAAGGTCCCTGGAGGCATAGGGCAAAGTTTGGGGCCACTTGGCCACGTTTAGGGTTGAAGGGTTTAGGGGCTCAGAGTCTCGTGCAGGGGTTTTCTGGGGCCTAAACCCCTAAACTCCTGAGCCCTACTACCCCTACTACTACTACTACGACGACGACTACTACTACTGCTACTGCTGCTACTACCACTGCTACTGCTACTACTACTACTACTACTACTACTACGACTACGACTACGACTACTACTACTACTACTACTACTACTACTACTACTACTACTAGTACTACTACTACTGCTACTACCGCTACCACTACTACTACTACTACTACTACTACTACTACTACTACTACTACTACTACTACTAGCCACTAGTACTACTACAGCTATGGAAGGTTACGTGTCTCGATCTTGTTCTGAAGTGCAAAGATAGTTCGGGGAAGAGTTGGTTCTTGTCGGTCAGACTCTTCCCCCGATCCGTTTTGCCCACATGGGGGTTTCCGAAAATTAGGGGTGCCGTATTTTGGGGTCCTTATGATAAGGATCCCTAGTATTTAGGGTACTGCATTAGGGTCCCTTTTGGGGTCCTTATTATAATACCACTCACATGTTTCTTTTGCGTTTTGTAGGCTTGCTTCGTCCGCTTCTGCCTCTCGGCTGTTGCCTTCTCTGCTTCTCCATTTCCTGAGGGTTGCCGTCTGGCAGGGGTTGAGGGGCAACCTCAATCACATGTGGGAAGTCCCCGAAATTTCGGGCCAGTGTGCACGCCCAACACACAAACATTCCTGGGCAGGATGGCAGAATGAAGTTGCTTGTGTGAGTGTGTTCGGTTTTGTTTGTTTATTGCTGCGGCCAGTTTGGATTTGGTACTGTGTTAGTTTCAGGGCCGTAACCGCATATCACCGCTAGCAGCAGCACATTTTCACGTTATACAGTAGGACGACATTCGAATGTTACATGCCTGTATGCCGAATTTCTTCAGAGTTCTGACGATGGGTTCTGCTATGCTTTCGAGAGGCAGCTGGCCTTGCGGGTACTTCGCAAGCTTTATGCATGAGTCTGTCCGTAAACCCAAAACCCCACATCGGTGTAGGGCTGGACGGTTGGGCTCCCCCCTAAACCCTAAACCCTGAACGAGAGCTCCGCGCCCAGCGCCCAGGAATGGGTCCGAGAGGCCAAGGCAAAAGGCATTGGCATGTCCATGGGATGCACCTGGGAGCAGGACCGGGGTGCAGGATCAAGTGAGAAGGCGAAGTTTTCAAGAGACAGGGTTGATTCTTGCGGGATTTGAAGATCAAGAGCTCGTCCGAGACATCCCATCCAGCATCCTTTACCTTGTATGTATGTATGTATGTATGTATGTATGTGTGTGTATGTATGTATGTATGTATGTATGTTTGCATGTATGCATGCATATATGTAGATAGGCAGGTAGGTAGGCAGGTCTGTTTGTCTGAAGGTTTTGCTCTTTTGGCATGTGGTTTTGCAAGGGGCGTTTCAGTCGAGAGTCTAGGGGATGGCTTTCCCTTTTGTTGGCACTGCGGCATTAAGGATTTCACGATGCAGGATCTAAGCATCTACATGGTGGATCTGTTTGCTTGAACGCACCACTACTAAATTCAGGCAGAAGTAAGCAACCATGGCAAACAGTACCCCACGTTGTGATGGTAATGTCCACCCCGCGAGGCCTTGAACGCGACGCTCAGACCGAATCTTCGCGGTTTGGGGTTTAGGGTTTAGGGGTTCACTCCCGAGTTGCTAATCAGGTCTAGAGCCTAGCTTGCATCAAGACTGGGTGTTGTTTGGGAATCCTTCATGATGTACCGTTTTCATTGTAGCAGTATAAATAAAATGATTGGCATGCCATTCTTATACTTATAAGACTTATGTCAGATCCAACTGGCGTGTACCTGTGAACCCTAAGCCCCAAGCCCTAAACCCTGAACCCAAAGCCCTAAGCCCTAAGCTCTAAACCCTAAGCCCTAAACCCTGAACCCTAAGCCCTAAACCCTAAGCCCTAAACCCTAAGCCCTAAACCCTAAGCCCTAAACCCTAAATCCTAAACCCCAAGCCCTAAGCCCTAAACCCTAAACCCTAAACCCCAAGCCCTAAGCCCTAAACCCTAAACCCTTAACCCTAAGCCCTAAACCTGTATTTTGTTGGACGCTGCCTTTGCGGCGCACTATGATAGAAGGTTTGTCGATGAGGTCGGTGAGATCAGAGGGGAGATGGAGCGCAGACTTCGTGCGTACCGTAGGGTTGAGGACGACCCGGTCATCAGCAGGATGGGGAGCCCTTCACGGGAAGATGTTGTTGAGATGTCGGATTGGTGCCTTCAACAAGTTCGGCGGCGGTGGCTACGGACCTACTGCCCGGAGGCCATGGAAAACATGGAGCTTGAACAAGATTTGGCGGCGCATGGTTTCCCTCGGGTACGGACTTCAGAGGAACGGTTCCGCAGGGAGCAACTTGAAAGGAGCCGCCAGTCCAGATCCCGCACGCCACACAGACGAGGCCGAGAGGAATGGCGAACGCAGGGCGGCTCGCAGGCGGTGTCGGACCCGGTCGGTGACGCGGTGAGTCATTTTCAACTTCCACCAGGCGGACAGACCAGATGGGAGAGGCTGATAGAACAGATGTGGAGATGGTTCGAGGAGGACCGGGCCATCGGCATGGCTATCTGCATGGTGCGATCTCAGGCGGTGGCGCGAAGAGACGCGGACTATGAAGCATGGGCTATGGGCCCGATTGCCACACTGGGGGCGGGGTTCCCAAACTCTGCTGGCTTGGACTCGTCGACCACTCCGGCAAATTTCTTTTCCTGGGCCCAAGAGGTTGAGAACCACATCTACGGGTACTACCTGGCCTCCAGGGATGATGCAGAGGAGGACTCGCAGCCTGGCAATGGTTCCACTGGAGATGGGGTCAGCTTGATGGAGAGGGACCGCTACCACAATGGAAGGCGCCGAATCAGGGATTCGCGCACCCCGCGCCGCACCGGTCAGGCCAGTTCGGGAAGTGGGGCACGTCGACATGGGCAAACAGTGGTACCGGACTCGGGGAGGGAAGCGAAGCAGAACCGCATCAGGGAAAGGGCGGCAAGACGCGGTGGCAGCTCAATCCCGCCTTCTACCTCAGGTGGGACAGCCAGCCATTGCCATGAACCTGCATCGGGTTCGAGAGACCCAGCCCCTGTGAGCCTGGTGGCTCGACCGACCATAGCCGGGTTCCCGGACGTCACCCAACCTATGACGTCGGAACAAGCAGTCAACTTGTGGCGTTACTACCTCTTCGACCGCGAGCACTTCGGCCCACGCTTGGAGGGCAACTCTCAGATCCCAGGCAGCTTCCTCCCACCACGCATGCTCAGGGAGATCAGTGCCCAGCACGAGGCGATGCCGGTGCAGAACCGTCTGGTGTCAACATGTGCGCTTGTCACCATTCTACGGTACATGATGGCTGAGCTGAGCCAAACGTTGGATGTGGCTGACGCTATCGCTCGAACACATGAAACCGATACTGTGGAAGTGCAGGTGGAGGAGGAGGATGACCTCAACCTCCTCATGCAGGCCTACCTCCTGACGGATGGTCGGGGAACAATGGAGCAGCGGTGGACAAGGGCGATCACCAGGCTGCACAAGGAGCTCCTCAGTCAAGACGGGGCCTTGCAGAGGATCCATGCCCGACTGCTTCTGGAAGGGATTCCGCCAATGATGAACGATGCTACGGAGCCTTTTGGTTCGCAGCTTCAGGCGCTCCTAGTGGCCCTGGGGGCTACGCCTGGGCAGCGGGTGGTGGACGCATCTGGTGCTGATCTGGAATGGTTGCAGAGCTGGGTCAATGAGCTCTCGGCCTTCATTCCGGGCTTCCTATCGGAGCCAAGCCCGGTCCCAGTGGACTCACAAAGCTCACTGGTGGAATCGGCTGCGGTTACTGCCATGGGGTGTGGCTCAGAGGTTGACTTGGACAAGTTGTTGGAGGACGAGATGAGTGAGCGAAGATGGCAAGAACAGCGTCAGGAAGAGGAGGAGGCGGAGAGGAGTCGCTTGGCAGCCCATGAAGAACTACAAGCGCGAGAGCTGGTGGAACTTCGGGCGGATGCTCGAGCGTACCGTGAATGGGAGCAAGACCAGCTTCGACAGAGCATGGTGGCACAGGAAGGACCACACAAAAGACGCTGCGTCCTGTCTGTGGAAGCTGCAAGTGGCTCCAGCGATCGACCCCGTGTACTGCACACACTTGCTCTTGATGTCCCACTCACAGGTGAGGCTGTATCTCTTACTATCAGGGCGAGGATGGAAGACGAGCCGGACTGCGTCAGCACTGTGCCTGTGGCCAGTGCGCCGGACCATCATGCGGCAAACGAGCCGGAGGGGCTAGCACATGCAGCTGTACGGGCAGGGGGCGTCTTTGGGGACCTGGAGTTCAGGGACTTCGAGGCCATCTATGCGGACTGGCGCAATGGTGCTCTCACAGTGGAAGACATAACTGCGAGGCATGGCGATGAGGTTGCTGAAATGGTGCAAGCTCAGTTTGCGGTGGCTCAGGCGGAAAATCAGTCGCTGGAGAGGCACCAGCAAACAGGGCCCCCGCCCCTGGACACCAGAGAGAGGTCTCCTATGGTGGGGGAAGGTATGCCGAGGCCGGACTTCTCCTTCTTCGAGAACATGTACGGGCAGTGGAAGTTCAACATGCGAACTGATGAGAACATCGCTGCGACCTTTGGGGAACGATGGCTCAGTCTGTTCAGGGCATGGCGAACAGGTGGGCTTGACTCGATTCGGCCTCAGTTGGAAGGGGTCGTACGGTTCTCGCCGTGTCAAAGTGAAGAGGCTGTGGCGACCACGTACGAGGACCCCGGCTCTACCTGTGCTACGTCGTCTACTACACGTATTTCTTACAGCGTCGTGAAGCAAGTGCACGACAGGTGGATGCAAGGCCTCCTACGGGATGAAACAGTTCAAGAAATATACGGCTTAGCCTGGCTGAGGATGTTCCGACGAATGCGAGATGAGGGTCTAGAACGTTGTCGGCATGAGCTCTCGGGCATGGTCGTGTGGGACGTGGAGGATGTTCCTGGTCTGAGTGAAACTCCCCAGAACGCACAGGGTGAACCTTCTGGAACTGAGAATGCGGGGGAACTGATGAGTGAAGCAGGGTCGCAACCGAAGAATGCCGAGAAAGAAGATGGTGAAGGGCAACATCGACAGTCAAGCACTACTGAGGGGTAAAGGGTAACCGCCTTCTGCCACGCAGATTCCAGACACCTTTTCAGGCAGACGGAAAAAGGCGCTCAAAAAAAAAAAAAAAACCTGTATTTTGTGGAAGATGTAGCTAGTCAACAGTACTTACCGTCGTTCATTGGCTCAAGAAAATATGCGTCTGCATTCTGGCTGTTCTGCCTGTAAACATAGGTTATCAGCCGTAGGTCTCACTTCGTTTGTAGATCGCGATGGATGCTCCCGTAAATCCTGCAGGTATTCCCGCGATAGACATTTCCGCGGCTCGCGTCGATACCGAGGATCTCAATTCTCTTCCTGCCATGTCCGTCCAAGACGATGGCACGGATCAGGTTGTCCCCGGTACCCGAGAGGGTGGCCAAGTTGTTCCTCTGACGGCAGAGGCCTTGGCCGTGATGGCCCAAACAGATCCCCGGAGAGGTGCACCAGGAGCGGTGTCAGAATGGGCCTATGTGTCAAGCCCAGCGCACCAGCTCGCATCCCTGGCGGGATCGCCTCAACAATATAATTCGGCCCAATATTCACCCAGCGAGATCAGAAACGTCGCGAACTACTATCAGCAAAATGTCTTGCACCGACGTTGCAACAAGCAGTCCATGTGCATCAAGTAGACACAGGACCAGCCGTTGCAGCTGAAGCTGAAGCACGCCACAAATTGATCATGGCAGAAGCAAACAATTTGCATAGGGAGCAATTCAATCAGCTTCATGCACAAGCGTTATCCGGTGCTGCCCAACTTCGGTTGGAGTTTGCCCAAGCGGAGAGTCGTCTGCAACAGAAAGAAGAGATGCTTCGAGCAGCCGGCGAAAGCATGGCTAACAAACACAGCGACGAGTTGTCGCAGATGCGACGTGAAGCCATTGACTACAAGCTCAGGCTTCATCAGGCTGAGGTTACAGTCTCTGACGTTACTAGCTTCACCCCTTGCGCTCGGTGGGTCGGGAATCGGTTCAAAGGCTGTTTTAAGCATAGGCAACTGACG